CAAACTATCTTCCAAAGGCCCTGAAGGCAGGACAAGAAGCAATGGGTGGAAACTAATCACGGAGAGAAGCAACTTAGAACTGAGGAGAAACTTCCTGACAGTGAGGACAATTAGCCAGTGGAACTGGTTGCCTCCAGAAGTTGTGAATGCCCCAACACTGGAAGTCTTTAAGAAGATGCTGGATAGCCATTTGTCTGAAACAGTATAGGGTTTCCTGCCTAGGCAGAGGTTGGACTAGAAGACCTCTGAGGTCTCCTCCAACTGTTATTCTATTCTATTCTATTCCATTCTTTCTATTTCTTATTCCATTCTATTCCTATTCTTATTCCTATTCTATTCATCCAAGACGTTTCTTCAGTTCTAACTCCAGACTGACTTCAATCAGAACGGAAGAAGCTTCTTGGATGAGAAGCGAAACTTCTTCAAGGAAAAACAAAAGTCCAATTGCCTTTTGAAAGAAAGAAAAAAACCGGCCATCACTGGAGGTTTTTAAGATGAGACTGGACGGCCCTTTGTCCAGAATGGTAGAGTCTCCTCCTTGAGCAGGGGGTTGGACTAGAAGACCTCTGAGGTCTCCTCCAACTCTGTTATTCTATTCTATTCTTTTTCCTTTCTACTACTATTTTCTCTCTCCCTTTCGGATCTCAAGACACACAACCCCCCGCCAGACCCCGTCATCCAAGGCACTTGGGGACTCCAGCTCCCATCATCCCCTGCACGTACCTGGCAGGGAGGCGGCGCTGGGGGAAAGGAGTGGGAAGGCGGCGGCGGGGAGGAAAGGCCTCTCATCTCCGTCGCAGCGGTCGAGGCAGCGCGGAGGAGGCGGATTCTTCTCCTCAGGAGGCGTCGCGATGGGCCTCGGGCCTCCAACTCCGCCACCGCGCGGGCCTCGCTCCAGCAGCCGCAGCAACCAGCCCAGCGCGCCGATGACGGCGCAGGCAGCCAGCAGCTCCCAGGCGGGCCAACCGGCCCGCCACAAGCCGCCCCAGCCCGACCAGCCGGCCGCCACCCAGCGCTCCATCGCTTTCCCGGCCGACGGACGATACTGCGCAGGCGCAGAGCAAGTGGGGTGGGGAAAAAAAAACCCTGGGCGGTACCTCGTCGGGGATTTCCCGGCGTCCGTCGCGCGCTCCGCGCAGGCGAGCTCCCGCGGCCGGCTCCAGGCCACGCCCCCTCCGGCGCTCCAACGGGTGTCCTGGCCGCGAGAAGGCCAGTGCAGAAGGCATCGGCTCGCGCTCTCTCTCTCTCTTCGCCTCCGCTTGCCCCTCCCACCCCCAGTCGAGGGGTTGAGGAGGTGGAGTCCGCCTCCTCGAAGCCCGGCGCTGCCTTGTCCCCGGTTGTCCCGACGGCGGAGCGGCCCCTCTCGCGCGCGCTTGGGAGTTTTTGAAGGGGCGCCGAGGTGACCAATCGCGGGCCGCCACGTCACACGCATGAGGGGGTGTGGGTGGGGGACGGGCATGCCGCGCTGCATGACGGGAAGCCCGTCAGAAATCCGGTGGCTGAGTTCTGCTATGAATGGGAGAAAAGCCCATAATGTCCGCGAAGCATGGGAAATGTCGTCCAATCTTGTCGACGGGCCACGCCGTCGCCTTGAGAGAGAAAGTGACGGCTCGGTAGCCCCCGGCAACGGCTTGAGGTTGCAAGGAAACGAGTCGCAAAGCAAACACTTCCAGTTTCCGATTGAAGCCGGCTTGGCTGCCACGCAAAGGCTAGAGCTGAGTGGCTTAGGGGAGTCGCATGGGAACCGGAAGTGGAGAATGCTACGAAGTTGTACAGCAAAGCCACGTTGCGCTTAACTCTTCAAGCATAGGGTTTAAAAAGGTGGTTTAACTTTCTAGCATATGGTTTGCAAAGTGGATTCCCTTTGCTGGTTCCAAATAATTGTGAGTTTTCAGTTTGCTAAAATTCAACTTTCTGGCTAATTTTTATCTCTGATCTTGTCTTTGTTATTAGAAGTCACCCATTTTGTTGGGTCAAAGAAACAAAACAATCAACTCCCCATTACTGAAATAATTCAAAAGTTACTCAAAAAGGGCCCATCTATTGGTCCCATCAGGACGTTTCTACAGGTGGTCCTCGACTTACGACTACAGTGGAGCCCAGCATTGATGTTGTTAAGTGAGACATTTGTTAAGTGAGCTTTGCCCCATTTTTCTTGCCACGGTTGTTGAGTGAATCACTGCAGTTGTTACATTAGCAACCTAGTTGCTAAGTGAACCGGGCTTCCCCCATTGACTTTGCTTGTCAGAAGGTCGCAAAAAAGAGATTGTGTGACGGGGCAACAGTCATAAATATGAGTCAGTTGCAAAGCCACTGAATTTTGATCACAAGAGCATGGGAATGCTGCAGCGGTCACAATTGTGAATAACCTAAGTCACTTTTTTTCAGTGCTGTTGTAGCTTCAAAGGGTCACTAAATGAATTGGTGTAAGTTGAGGACTACCTGTACAGTTGATGGGATTAGATTTAAAGGAGAGCTGGACACATGAACATTATAGTGGGCAGCCAAAAAAATCAATAGATCACTGAGCAAACCATTCCAGCCTTCCCACTTGTACAAATGATCAGCCTCAAATTAACACAGACAATATATGCTGTAGACTAAACACCGCTCTCCTCTTATAGATTTAAAATACGCAATGGGCACAGGTGTTTTTTTTTAATGAAAAATAGTTTATTGCACAAAACCTTTCAAGAATGTTTAGCGTATCTTAAAGATTTTTCTTAAATTAACATGCCCTGTTTTTTTTAAACACAATTATTACTCTTTAATCAAACACATCTAACTCTTCCTTTGGAACACTCACTCAAACATGTTATGAAAATGACCCCCCCCCCTCCCAATTAAATAGAATCAGACAACTATTTGCGGGGAACAAGGAAAAAAAGAGAAAATGATATACGTAAGATTCTCTTTTTGCCTGGCTATTGTTACAGAAAAGATTCCTATGACTTAAGAATCTAAATTTTTTCCATCTGGGAGGGTAAGCATTCTGCATTTTCAAGGGGGAGAAAAACACTACTTTGAAACAGATCCTCATTATAAATGGACCAGGATTCACTTTCTAAATTAAGGCAACTTTCTACTTTTATTATGTATCTGTCACTTGAAAAGCCAGTGACGTAATTTGGTTTGATTAGATGATCTCTAGCATCAGCGCTCCCTTTTCACTTCGTGCAGCTGCTCACCCCAAAAAATAAAAATTACAATTTTGATATAGAGAAGTATTTTTCATTCAAGCAGATTTTTTTTTCCTGGTAGAACGAAACAAGCATTGCCAGATTGGAAAATGAAACAGACGATGCACACGGAAAAAGTTCACAGAATGCGTAAGTCTCCAAATAACCTGGAAGACCGTAAGGTGAATTAATATTCACCATATTGTTGCACTGTATAAAATTGCTGTGAACAATTGACAGATTTAAGCCTTCGGAACCATCGTCTGCTAACATATAGAAAAACACTGAAAACCATCACATCTAGCTTCCAGAGATGAATAAACAAGATATTTTTTTACAAATGCAGAATAATAGAACCATAAAGGCTCTATTATTCATTTTGAATATTTCAAAAAACAAAGGGAACTTTCTGAATGGTTTATAGATCTTGGCTAGTTGGAAAGCGTAGATGGAGATCCCTCCACAATCCTGGTTTCTTGAAGTATGAATTAAATGACAGCACATTTAAAAAGAGAGAATGACAGTAAATATTTTTTTTCCAGGAGGAAATTTGCTGAGTCAGGGATTCCCAGACTTAACACCACCCACTTCCTTCCCAGCCAAAATGACAAGTCACAGAGAAATCTAAATAAGATGGTCTGAAAAAAGGGAAGCAGGAGAAATGGATTTTTCATTTAGTAAAAATACAACAATGGGGTTTTTCTCCCTGTTGTTGTCCCTTCACCTCCTGTAAATGGTTGAAGGAGGTTTTTTTTTTTAAAAATCTGATTTTATAATACATATATTGCATTCAGCTGTGACTGTTGACAGGATGCTCAGAAAAATCTTCATGGATAAATCAAAAATTGTGAAATGCAAAGAACTAAGTAGAGCAGCAAAGATTGGAAGTGATCATACACATATTACTCATTATATATTAGCTTTGGTGTTTAAATACTACAAGTATTTCTTACATTAGCAGATACATAAGCTTCACAGATATGAGCAGCAAAAAAAAATACCATTGCTATTTTACTGTATAAAACCAACTTTATAATAAAAGTTACCACCTGTCTAGATTGACCCATAAAGCCTTCAAAATTGTTTCTTGATAATTCTGGATTAGTCTCATCAAAGAGATAAGCATATCTGAGTGTACTTATCTCTTTGATAAGACCCTCAAAATTTAGAAAGCTTTACATTTAAAAACCACCTTTCCTTCATTTATTAGATGAAAATAAAGCATGTAAAAATGCCTCACAGAAGTTTCAGAATATTAAAAAATATTGAAACTCAGGTTGGAAAAAAAGAGCTGAGCAAGCAAAATGTCCATCTAAAGTCTGTTCTGAAAAGAAATACAGAATAGGTAGAGAGAAAAAAATGTCTTGGCTTTAACAGGAAAATCAGAGTGACATTTCTACAAATACTAGTGGGGGGGGAATAATCCTTCCACATTCAATCAATCCACACCACTCACAGTTGGGAGCTTTCTTTGGTCAGACTGTTGAAACAGAAATCTAATTTACAGTGTGTGTGTGTGTCCATCTGTTAAGTCCTGCTTCGAAATTTCCTTCATCATGTTTAACGGAGTTTAACAATTGGTGAAGTTATCTAAACTTTAGACTTAGGTTTAGCCATGCGAACCAGTTTTCCTTTATTGCTTTTCCTCTTTGTTCTCCAAACATCATTTTCCTTCTCGTTTTCTTCCTGTGAGACTTCCTACTATGACAATTAAGTGCTGTGATCCATCTTCAGTTAGGATACAGCTCATTAAAGATCCGAAGTCCTCAATCAGTTTAATAAAATAGACTAGGGTTAGGTGACCAAGGACACATTTTAAGGGCAGTCTGGTATGCTCCTGTAAATGTGATGTGCATGAAGACAGGATGGGATGGGACTCATAATGGCACAATTTCACAATTGTATCTGCTAAGATCTTGGACAGGACTCCCCTCACCTGATCTCACCTCAAGCATCCATAACTTCCAGCCAAGATCACAATACCTCCTACATTTGTGTCTTCCGTTCACGCTTCCTTTTACTTCCTAGCATATCCTACAGTGCAATTTGAACCAGGGTGTTTTTACCCAGAGCACAAAAAGGTGCTGTCGTTGAGAAACAATTAAAAAAAAACCTATTGTTTCAACTGATTAATTATACATGGATGCTTTTGCAAAACAAAAACAAAAAAACCCACAGGACATGAATTCTGGTTACGTCTCAGGAGGAAGCCAGGAGGGAGAGGCATGGAATTAAAGCTAAGAAACTAGGATTTTATAGGCAGAATAAAATTGAAAGATAAATAAGTGAATCAATTAAATGTCTAAAAAGCTCCGGTTTTAGCTTCCTTGGGCCCGTATCCACAACACATTTTGCAGGACACCAAAACTTAACAAGTCACCTTAGTAAGATCAAACATAAAAACCGACCCAGATGCTTTATCATCCACAGAAGAATCCAGATATATATATATATACTGTATATATATAAGAGGCTCCACAACTCACCCACAACTCTGTCCTGCAGATTTCTGCAAAGACAAACAACACAAATGTGCAAACAGCATCCATCAGAACATTTTACTGGGAGATTATTTTCTTGGAAGCCAAATCGACCGACGCCATTGAAAACGGCTTCGCCGTGGTTTTCAAGACGAGCAATTTGGTTGCTTGATTTGTCGGAATAGGACTCAAAAGATACGATAATAAAAAATACTGGATTTGGTGGAGTATCATCCCTTAACGGTCATGAAATTCCCAAGCTGGAAGCGGACTGAGCCATCACCGAACAAGTTGAGTACGTTTTTTTTTTAAAGGGACCCTGTTTCGTCTTCTCTCTGCAGCCATCCTAATTCGATCGCTTA